CCAGGTACTTGGGAGGCATGATTTTTTTGGCATAATTTTTTGATTTTTTGTAGAGATGAGGTCTCACTATGCTCAAGCTGGTCTTGATCTCCCGGGCTTAAGTAATCCTTCTGCCTCAGCTTTCCAAAGCAGTGGTGTCACTGGCCTGAGTCACTGCGCCTGGCATCCCATACAGTCTTAAATGCAGCAACTCCTTCCTGCCCCACTGACTTCATTTCAAGCTCTCCTCTCCAGGAACTCAGTACATGTCAGCCCCACTGGCTGTTTTGTTTCTCAAACATACCATACTTATTTCTACTTTAGGCCTTTGTACTTGTTTCCTCTGACTGTAATTGTCTGTTTCTAGATTTTTGCATGACTGGCTCTTAAATATTATTTATATTTCAACTCAAATAGCTCTTCCTTAGAGGAGCCTTAGCTGACTTTCATGTAGAATAGAACTTCACTCTACTGGTGTGGTGCTGGGTTCGAATTAGAAGTATCAATATGTATGTATATGTATTGTATGTATTTGTTTACACTGATACTTCTAACACTGCATATACATACTATTATGTTCAGACTGATAACTCATCCTAGAGACAATGAGCATGGTTGATCCCCAGATCTCCAGTTCTAAAAACTGTTCCCCATTCAAAGGAAACAACACTCCTTGGAGATATGGCTGATTTCAGGGCCAGGACAAGGAAAGTACAAAGTGATCCTGGAACACCTCCCTGTGAAAAGTAAAGCAGTGCTGATAAAGTGACGGGACCATGCTGAAAAGTACACCTGAGCCAGTTTGAAAGGGCTCGTCTGGTCAAGGTAGGGAAATTTTGAAATAAAATGAATAATGATTCCAGTTCATATATATAATAGATTATAATATATTAAATAAAAAAGAATATATGAGCATATAAATATATATATATATATTTTTTTTTTTTTTTTTTTTTTGAGAGACAAAGTCTCACTATGCTGCCTAAGCTGGTCTCAAATTCCTGTGCTCAAGTGATCCTCCAGCCTCAGTCTCCCAAAGTGCTGGAATTACAGGCATGAGCCCAGCCAACTTTTCTTTTAATTTAAAGGGAGTATTTTGTGTCCATTCAGGTCACTGTGAAAGAATACCATAAACTAGGTGGCTTATGAACAACAGGAATTTATTTCTCACAGTTCTGGAGGCTGGAAGTCCAAGATAAGGCACTGACTGATGTGATGTCTGGTGAGGCCCATCTCCTGGTTCATAGACAGCTGTCTTCCCATTGCATTCTTACATGGCAGAAGGGCAGGCGAGTTCTCTGGGTCTTTTTCATAAGGTCACTAATTCCATTCATGAGGGTTCTGCCCTCAGGACTTAATCAGCTACAAATCACATTGAAGGTTAGGATTTCAACATATGAATTTTGGGCATCACAAACATCCAGTCTATAACAATCCATTCCAAGCTCCCCCAAATTCCTGTCCTTCTCACATGTAAAACACACTCATCACATCCCAACAGCCCCAGACGTCTTAACTCATTCCAGCGTTAACTATAAAGTCTAAAATCCAAAGTCTCACCTAATGTCATCTAAATCAGATATGGGTGAGACTCAAGGCATGATTCATTCGGAAGCAAACTACTCTCCAACTGTGTGCCTGTAAATCCAAACAAGTCATGGCTTCCCAAATACAACGGAGGGGTGGGCATAGGATAGACATTTCCACTTCAAAAGGGAGAAAATGGAAAGAAGAAAGGGGAAATGGGTTCCAGCTAGGTTCAGATGACAAAGGAGAACTTGGGGCTCGGATTTCCTTGACTTGATGTTCCACCTTTCAAGTGCACTTACTTGGGTAGCAGCCTCACCCTCCACAGTTCAGCAGGAAGGTCTCATTGGAGTGCTCTACTTGGGCCCAGTGCCAACAGTGGCTCTCTGACAACCCTACCACCCCCGCCCCCACCCCCATGCTTTGGCTCTCTGTCCTGGAATCACAGGCCCTTGGCTCCAGGTGGCTCCATCTTTTGAAGCCTAAGTAGAGGGAGCCATGCTCTTCCAGTCACGTGCACTCTGCAGGCCCTTAGAGACCAAGCTGTTGGTACCACCAAAGTGTGCTGTCTGTGCCCTCCCAAGAGGTGACTGCTGCAGCTCATACACCCCAGGGCCATGGGAGCGCCACCTGGTGTCACCTTGCATTGCAGGATCCTAAGGACAGAAAGGTAACAAGTTAGCGTAGAAAGAATTATAGGATTAGGCCAGGCATGGTGGCTCAATCCTATAATCCCAGCACTTTGGGAGGCCAAGGTGAGAGGATTGCCTGAGCCCACAGGTTCCAGACCAGGCTGGGCAACCTGGTGAGACCTCATCTCTACAATAAACCAAGAAAAATTAGCCAGGCATAAAGGCGCATGCCTGTGGTTCCAGCTACTTGGAAGGCTGAGGCGGAAGGATCACCTGAGCCCAGCAGATCAAGGCTGCGGTGGCTGTGAGTATGCCAGTGCATTCCAGCTTGGGTGACAGAGTGAGACTCTGACTCAAAAAAAAAAAGAAAGAATTAGAGGGTTAGGAATCACATTGTTACCTCCTTAGGAATTATTTGTGCAAGAAGTGCAAGCTGAAACATTGGTTTAAGATTATTGAGAGCATGATATTCACAGAGTCTCAAAGAATAATCCACACAGAGACTACATAAGAAAAGAAAATTTTATAGTGAAAAAAATCTAAAAGTGATCAAACCAAATGGTCAAATCTACATCATCAAAAATGGTACCAGCTGACAGTATTCAACTCCTGAAAGGGAGCACTGAGGACACAACTATGTAACATTCTTACAAAATTTTTGTTTCTTATTTAGACACAAGTTCTCACTTTGTTGCCTAAGTTGGAGTGCAGTGACATGATCACAGCAGCGTCAACCTCCTGGGCTCAAGTGATGCTCCCATCTCAGACTCTCAAGTAGCTGGAATTATAGGCGCACGCCACCATGTCTGGCTAACTTTTTATTTTTATCTTATTGACTTATTTATTGAGTTATGCTCTCTCTCTCTCGGTCACCCAGGCTGGAGTACAGTGACACAATCACTGCTCACCATAGCCTTGACCTTCCAGGCTCAAGTGATCCCCCTTCTTCAGCCTCCTGAGTTGCTAAGACTACAGACATGTGCCAACATGTCCAACTTTTTTTTTTTTTTTTAAATAAAAATCAGGTCTTGCTATGTTGCCCAGGCTGGTCTCTAACTCCTGGGCTCAATCAATCCTCCCACCTAGACCTCCCAAATCTGTGATTGTGCCACTGCACTCCAGCCTGGGTGACAGTGTGAGACCCCAACTCAAAAAAAAAAAGAAAAGAAAGAAAGAAAGAAAGAAAAGAGAGAGAAAATAATCATATGAATCTAAATTGAGGAATATTCTGAAATACAACTGGTCTGAACTCCTCAAAAATGCCACGATGAAAGATCAGTAAAAGGCTAGGAACTGTTCTAAATTAAAAGAGTTTAAAGAAACATATCAATTTTAATTGGATTGGATTTATCTCCTCTCTCTCTCTCTCCATCTCTCTCTCTCCCTCTCCCCTTCCCTCTCAAACACACAGCACACACACACACATACACACACACAGCTATAAAGAATATTATCAAGGACAATTGGGGAAATTTAAATGTGAACTGTACATTTGCTGTGATTATGTAGGAGAATGTTCTCATTCTTGTTTTTTGTTGTTGTTTTTGTTGTTTTTGAGTTGGAGTCTCACTGTCACCCAGGCTGGAGTGCAGTGGCATGTTCACGGCCACCGCAGCCTCGCCCTGCTGGACTCCAGCGATCCTTCCGCCTCAGTCTTCCAAGTAGCTGGTACTACAGGCGCGTGCTACCACGCCCGGCTAATTTTTGATTTATTGTAGAGATGAGGTCTCGCCGAGTTGTCCAGGAGGGTCTCGAACCCGTGGGCTCAGGCAATCCACTCACCTCAGCTTCCCAAAGCGTGGGATTACAGGCTGAGCCACTGAGCCTGGCCACCTCAGCCTTTCAAGCAGCTGGAACTACAGGCTTTTGCCACTACACCTGGCTAAGTTTTTGATTTGTTGTAGAGATGAGGTCTCACTAAGTTGCCCAGGCTGGTCTCAAACCCATGGGCTCAGATCTCTCACCTCAGCCTCCCAAAGTTCTGGGATTATAGATGTGAGCCACCATGCCCAGCCTGGACTTGACTCTTAACCCATGGAGCCATCAAACATTTTTAAATAGAGAAAGATATTTTGAAAAGAAAATAATAGAACAGTACTAACTTTTTTTCTGAACCCAAGGTCAAAAATTGAAAGTTTTAATTTTAAAAGACAAACATTATTTTGCTATCACTTTTCCTAAGTTTATATTAGTAGAGCCATAAGTGACAGTATGCTTTAACAAAAAGTTACAAAATAAGCTCCAGGAAAATAATAATCTTGAGGGATCTAAATTTGCCAGCTAGTTCAAGTCTCCTCAGATAAGTATATCAATATTTAAATATTTTATGCCTTTCTTTGAATCTGCTAAAAATGTCTTCTTGAATGTTAAAGCTTATTATTTTTCTAACTCCTGAATTTTTAGAATTATGTGTTGTTTTCAGGGTTTCAAAGTTCAAGGGGATAATAATTATTAAGTTTTAGAGCTATTTTTTGGCTCGTCTATTCAAAAACACAAAAAAGTTTTTGTTCTAGTCTTGGCAGCACTATTTTTTTTATTAAGATTTTACCAATATGCCTCCTTTTCTGCTGGTGTTATTCTTACATGCACATAAAAACTAGACCAACAAAAATAAAATGAAAGTGGTATTTTATTTTGCTAAGTCAAGCAAACAGGATATTTTGAAACATAATATAACAAAAATCTTCTTATAAATAAAATCAAATAGTAGTATTTGCAGCTGAATTGAAAGTAAGTTTTACTCTTTCCTGGATGATAAGAAGTTTGTCCTTGGTATTATGTGACTCCCCAGGAAGATGTCACAACAAGCCTCCTATCACAGAGGGATGAGGCTGATGCTGGTACTGGAAGCCAGATACTTTCTTCTTTTTTTTTTTAATGAACCACAGCCAATTTTATTCAAACTCTCCAAAATTTATACTCAATATGCTGTTTCTAAAATTTGTTAACCTTTATACAATAGTTTTATTATTTCATTTTCTTCTATAGTTTCTTCATCTTTTCTTTACATTCTTCAGTAGAAGCCAGAATCTTGAGTTGCCCAGTTAGGAGCCTCTGACCTGCTATTCTGATTAAGCTTCTTCTCAATATTCATGGCCAACATCTGGCTTCTAAAAGAAAGGCTTTTGGTCTTTTCAATCACTTGCTGATAGGGTGAGACTGCATTGTTACCCATAACCACATGACGTAATTTAGAATCAATCTTGGCATCCAATCTTGCATTTCTAATCAAATTCACAATCCACCTTTCAGCTTCTTCTGGAGTCATGTTCAGTTTATCTGCCAACATGTTAATGCTGATGCACTGATGGATGCGACAAAAAGTTTCAAATATGAAGAGACGGGCACTTTCTTTTCTTTTTTTTTTTTTTTGAGTTGGAGTCTCACTCTGTCTCCCAGACTAGAGTGCAGTGGCCACTCCGGCCACCGCAGCCTCAACCCGCTGGACTCCGGAGATCCTGCCACCTCAGCCTTCCAAGTAGCTGGAACTTCAGGCGCGTGCAACCACGCCCGGCTGATTTTTTTATTTATTGTAGAGACGAGGTCTCACCAAGTTGCCCAGGCAGGTCTCGAACCCGCAGGGTTCAGGCAGTCCACTCACCTCAGCCTCCCAAAGGCATGGGATTACAGGCTGGGCCAACGAGCCCGGCTGAGACGGGCATTTTCAATGAAATCCTCAAGACAAGCCACCAAGAAGTCATTCACAAGTACTGATTCACATTCCCTCAGTTTTTTCTGAGCTCCATCAAAGTCAAAGTTAACATACAAGTACTCAACAAATTCTGTAATTGGGTCTTGATATATGTGTAAGGTTCCTGCTAAATAACTTTGACTAGATCTTTTAGCACCTGCCAGTGTTTCCGAACATCCTTGTTTGTTATGACTGCTGTAGTCAAATAGCGCAGAATATGTGGACACATTGTCTGAATTGCATTAAGATACTGTGGTTGGTAAAGAAAAAGATCAATGATATTATCGCGACCTTTGGGGTGGTTGAAGAAAACAAACAGAGACCAGTGAATGAGCCATGTTCACTGCTGAAGATACTGAAGTGGAAAACTCACAGAATTATTAGCAATGGTTTCCTTTAACCATGTAAGGTCTTCCATGGCTGCAGCCCAATTCTGCATTAAGATTTCAGAGGCCAGTTTTCCCCAGAGTGAACTTAAAGCATTTCTATCTGCTGCTGGAACCAACACTCTAAAAAAATAAAGATATTTTGCTGCTCCTGAGTAATTCCCACATTCATATTGAAATTTTGCATACCTATCGAGGGTATCTAAATACTCTTGCCTAAAACCATGCTTGTCCGCCAGGTAGTCAAATAGCATCCGACCATCCCTGGTTGACTGCATTTGCCTTGTAGTTTCTGGATCTTCAAACATCTTCACAATTGGTTCTGTTTCTGCTTGAAGCTGCTTCATTTGTGCAACAAGTGTGGTTCTTTTTTCTCTCAAAGCATGAGGAATATCATCAGAATAAAGGTTTTTGTATACATCCATAGCAAAGTCTACCATGTTGGTATCACTAAGAAGATCCAATTTCCCTTGTGATAACTCTTTTTCATTATATATCCCCTTCACAGAGGGAAATTCAAGGAGCGGAACGACCAGATGCCGATCCAAAAAGTGGGCGATGCGAGTAGTCAAGTCGTACTCCGCCATCTTGCCAAAGCAAAGGGGGGTCTGTGCCCACTAAAACTTTATTGATAGCACCGACAAATGAATGAACAGGAAAGCCAGATACTTTCTAACAGGAAAGGTCAAGCATCATCAGCTCCCTGTAAGTCCTTCAGCCAAAAACACTATCCTGTCAAAGGTCTTGCAAGCTACAGAAAGGACTTTGATTTTTAGCTCTTATTGCTGAATGAATATTCCATTGTATAAATATGCCACATTTTGTTTATCCACTCCTCAGTTGATGAGTATTCGAACTAAGACTAAGCTTTAATGTAAACTGTTGATAAATTGATGCTAACACAGGATAGCAAACTAAGTTACTTGTGTAATATGTTCTGGGAATTTACTGACTACATTGTTTTAGGTACAAGATAGTTACAAATAAGATGAAACTATATTACTTATATCCTAAGACTGAATAATGTAGAATAATTTGAAAAAAAACAATGGAAAACATGCTGAATAAGTGAAAAGTATTCATACTGGCCAAAACTATTATCAGTTATTTGCACTCTGGAGTTAGGCTTTAGCAATGACATGCCAAACCATATGGAAGCCTGAGACGAAAGGAAAAATATGTGCCCCTACATACAAGTTTTCATGTATTTTTAGTGGTTAATTTTTTTTAGTAAGTAGATGTTGAAAATATTAATTAGTGTGATTTGTGTTCTTCAGGGTATATTCCCAGTAGGGGGATTGCAGGGTCATATGGAAGGTCAATTTTTAGAGCTTTTAGGAATCGCCACACTGCTTTCCACAGAGGTTGCACTAGTTTACACTCCCACCAACAGTGTAGAAGTGTTCCCTTTTCACTACACCCTCTCCAGCAGCTGTTATTTTTTTGAGTTGTTGATAATTGCCATTCTGACTGGAGTTAGGTGGTATCTCAGTGTGGTTTTGATTTGCATCTCCCTGATGATTAGTGAGGTTGAGCATTTCTTCATGTGTTTGTTGGCTGCTCGGATGTCTTCTTTTGTGAAGTGTCTGTTCATATCTTTTGCCCATTTGTTTCCATTAAAACCAGAAAAGTAAAGTTATACTAAATTCTGGTCTGGGTGTAAATAAAATATTTAAACCTGAAATAATGTTATGGGTTTTGAAACACATATTTTTTTGTATTTCAGTATGTTTCAACTATTTTTCTTTAATTTTTAATTTTAAAGATGTGGGGGTAAGAGGGGAATTTATATCCCTACAAACGCACATGAAGAAAATGGAAGGATCACAAATTAACAGCCTAACAAGCCACCTAAGGAAACTAGAAAAGCAAGACCACAAAAACCCCAATTTCAGCAGAAGAATTCAGATCACCAAAATAAAAGCCCAAATCCAGGACATAAAAGACAAAAAACAACACAAAAAATCAGTGAAACAAAAAGCTGGTTCTTCGAAAGGATAAACAAGATTGATGGTCCCCTAGCTAGACTGACCAAGAAAAAGAAAGATAAAAACCAAATAAGCACAATCAGAAACACAAAAGATGAAGTCACATCTGACCCTGAAGAAATACAAAAGATCATTAGAGACTACTACATACACTTGTATGGAAAGAAACTTGAAAACCTTAAGGAAATGGAGGACTTTCTGTCATCACACAACCTGCCTAGGTTGAAACAAGAAGATATTGAGACCCTAAATAGACCAATAACAATCAAAGAAGCCGGGCTCGGTGGCTCAGCCTATAATCCCAGTGCTCTGGGAGGCTGAGGTGAGTGGATTGCCAGAGCCCGTGGGTTTGAGACACACCTGGGCAACTTGGCGAGACCTCATCTCTACAATAAGTCAAAAATTAGCTGGGCGTGGTAGCGTGTGCCTGTAGTTCCAGCTACTTGGAAGGCTGAGGCAGAAGGATCGCTGGAACCCAGCAGGTCGAGGCTGCAGTGGCCGCTGCCACTGCACTCCAGTCTGGGTGACAGAGTGAGACTCCAACTCAAAAAAACAAACAAACAAACAAAAAAACAATCAAGGAAATTGACTACATAATAAGAAAACTACCTACAAAAAAAAGCCCTGGACCAGATGACTTTCTAGCAGAATTCTACAAGACATTTAAGGAGGAGCTGATACCAATCCTACTGAAGGTATTCCAGGCAATTGAGAAAGATGGAACTCTCCCCAAATCAGTTTACGAAGCTAACATCACATTGATACCCAAACCAGGTAAAGACCTAACAAAGAAAGAGAACTACAGGCCAATATCTTTGATGAACATAGATGCTAAAATTCTCAACAGGGATCCTAGCAAACCGGATTCAACAACACATCTCAAAAATCATCCATCATGACCAAGTAGCTTCATCCCTGGGATGCAAGACTGGTTCAACATTCATAAAACCATAAATGTAATTAAATACATCAACAGATGTCAAAACAAAAGCTACATGTTATATCATTAGATGCAGAAAAAGCTTTTGATAAAATCCAGCACCCCTTCTTGAT